ACCTCAAATTAAGCTTGGAAAACATGCTAGCACAGATCTTTAAGAAAAAACATGCTATCTCACACTTTAAGTTGGCTGAATTGGCGTTGAAATACACATTGAATAATTGAAACCGTACACTTATATAATATATTTTCAAAAAGTAAGGAATATTTATTTTCAGGTACACTTGTTTATTTTATTTGTTTCATTTAATATTTTTTAATTAATTTTGTTAACTTGCTGTTACAAACGACAAAATTGTTAATTAAAAAAATATAATAATATACAGTGTGCTGCAATACGTACATTACTCGTTTCTTGAAATAACAAATTATAAAAAAATAGTGGATACCTTAATATATAAAAATGTTTATTATTATTAAGAATTATTCCATTTTTTTCATACAAGTTTGCTTTGATATAAAAATTAATAGCGCACTCTTGTCTGATTTATAGTCACTACTGTGGATACACTTATTTTGAAAATAATTTTATATGCCTAATGCGGACTCTACGGAGACTGCAATAAAAAGGATTATAAAATGGACCAGGCTACGCCCCAAACTCCGGGTCCGAATCATTCTTACTGCACCTTAATAAAAACAAATGGCTTCTTAAAGGTACGGTAGCCGCGTACTTGCGTAGACTTTGGAAATGAAATGCAGGTATGTGACACTTTTATTACCGGTACCTTATGATCTGCTGGATATGGATGCGACGGGCACAGAGCAGATGATATGCACGTGCACATTTCCGCGGTTCTCCATGCACACATGATTATCGCACCTACATATAATTCAACTTAATACATTATATTTATATTCTGGTTATTATGTTAACTCTATTAATGAAATTTTATGAATAAATGATGTTTTTCTACAAATTGTTGCATCTTGTTCTTATTTGAAAAGTAATGATTGTAGAAATCGTATTTCACATAATAACTGTAAAATTTTTGATATTTTTAATTATGCATTCATAAATACAAAGCTTTGTGTAAAAGTCATGACTTTATCTGAATGCAAGTTAAGAGCAATTGCCAAGACAATCCAGGTGTAGCTGCTCTACACGAGCATATTGTCCAGGTAAGAACGATTCGGGCCCGGGATTTGGAGTCTAGCCTATTCCATTATAATCCCGTTTATTGCAGTCTCCTTGGAGTCCGCATTAAGGCATATAAAATTATTTTTAGAATAAAAGGAAGAGTAGTGACTACAAACCGCTAGGGACAATGAAATAAATAAAATAAGTTTTTTACTTGATTTTTTGCCTTTTCGAAAAATGGAAATGTATTATCAATGAGGCAAATCGACCTAATTCACGTTTCTCTCTAGCAGTTAATGCTGATGTATTAAATGTATATAAAAGTGTTTTTTATCAACATGAAGCTTACTGAAATGGAAAGATTTGAAATTCTAAAGGCGGTTTTCCACTAAACGGACAAAACAAAAACAAAACACAAACTTGTGTCGAATAAAACAGAACTGTAACTTTTCGTAAACTTTTTGAAGACTGGCGTGTTTTGCGACAGTTGGAGTTTTGTTTTTCGGGTCCCGCTCGAAAGCGGTCACATCAATAGGTTTCGACGTGTTTTGAAACTCAAGTCTGTTTAGTGGAAACGGTCGTGTTGTGTTTTCTATTTAAGTGATCCAACCCAATATCTATGTTGGCGTTTTCTTCTTCCCAAAAACAATATTTTAATCATTAATGAATTATAGCTNATTAGGTCCCAACTTTCAAATAGGTCATTAAAGAATTCCGTCATCAATTTTCTATCCAACCTTTGTTTCTCATTTTAATTATAGTCTATAAAGAAACACTGGAGCAAAAAAGGCGATATAAGGCCAGGACAAGGTAATCATGTGTAGTTCTTATTATTTTTTTTTATTTTATTGCACAACATATAATAAAACAATAAACAGATTTTTACTATTGAAAGAACTTTTTGAACAACTGTTTGTCAATCAACTTAGCAAGCGCATTATTTACCCTTGTCTTATATATGAATATGCGTAAGCTTATCTCTTTCGCGTGTCTACTTCTTGAGGCGGAGCACATTTGACTTATAAAGGCGGTTTTCCACTAAACGGACAAAACAAAAACAAAACACAAACTTGTGTCGAATAAAACAGAACTGTAACTTTTCGTAAACTTTTTGAAGACTGGCGTGTTTTGCGACAGTTGGAGTTTTGTTTTTCGGGTCCCGCTCGAAAGCGGTCACATCAATAGGTTTCGACGTGTTTTGATACTCAAGTCTGTTTAGTGGAAACGGTCGTGTTGTGTTTTCTATTTCAGTAATCCAACCCAATATCTATGTTGGCGTTTTCTTCTTCTCAAAAACAATATTTGATCATTAACGAATTATAGCTATTAAAAAATATATATTTGTACGGTTAAGGTGTTTACTTGGCTGGTATACAAACTAACTAACTAACCAAGTAAACACTTTAACCGTACATATACAGGGTGTCTCATAATTAGCTGCCAACCCTGAACAGACCGATTCTATGATCAAAAGTAAGTAAACAAGTTCATATCAACATGGGTCCGGAAATGCTTCCTAAGGGCACAGGGACCCATTGAAGAGGGAGGAATGGAAATCATTTTTTTGCAATATCTCTCAATCGCGTTGTGATAAATGAATGAAATTTGGTATACACAGCTAAATTTTGATGAGCAATTTGATGGACTAATCCATTTATTTCCACAAGGTCCATTGGGGTGGGTACGGGGGGGCCCTTGGTACTTTGCGTGTGTAACTTTTTCATCTTTGACTTTTTAACAAATTGGACAGCAAATTCCGTTTTCCCGAACTGTTTTACGTTAAAAAGGTACTCTTGTTTCAAATCGTTATCTTTAACGGTTTCTGAGAAAATCGCTCTTGAATTAATCCCACTTTGGTCAATTTCATAGTAATTTAAACAAAATTATCAAGGTATTCTTATGTCAAAGTATTGTCAACCCGATTGCCAATTTAATAGTTCTAAGCGAAAAAAATGGAAGAGTTTACGGGACAAGAGTTAGTTGATATGATATTTATTTATGGCTTTTGCGATGGTAATGCTGCAGCGGCAGAACGCGAGTACGGGAGAAGGTTTCCAAACCGAAGGCTGCCATCAAGGAGGACATTCCCTACGGTATTCCGCAACTTAGCTGCAACCGCCACTTTTCGAAAGGCACCGGGTCAAGGACGTCCCAGGATTAATAGGGAAGCGGAGGTCCTTGACGCTATTGAACAAGATCCTACGACTAGCATACGGAACATTTCAAGGCAAATAAATGTTCCTCGGCCAACGGTACTACATATCTTAAAGATTTCCTTAACAGAATTGATTAGATGTGCTACTAACATTTCAGGTTGGAAGAATATTAAAGCGACAAGGTCTACATGCCTATCACTATCGACGTGTACATGGCTTGATACCAGAAGATTTTGCGCCACGTATGCAATTTTGTCGCTGGATTTTGTCGCTGGACAACGAGCAAGCTTCCAAAATTTTGTGGTGTGACGAAGCTACTTTTACCCGAAATGGAAAATTAAATTTTCATAATTCTCATTATTGGGAAGAAGAGAACCCACATGTTGTTCGGAGAACAAACTTCCAGCAACGGTTTTCCATAAATTTATGGGCGGGAATAATTCACGACACTCTGATTGGACCTATTGAAATTCCACAACGTCTCAATTCAAATCTTTATTTAAACTTACTTCAAGAAAATCTTCCCCAAATTCTCGATGATCTGCCTCTAAATTTACGACGTAACATGTTTTTTCAACACGATGGAGCCCCGGCACATAGTGGTCGCAATGTTCTAAATTTCCTAAACGAAAATTTCGCTGGACGGTGGATAGGGAGGCACGGACCGGTAGCTTGGCCGCCGCGTTCTCCCGACCTAACCCCGCTGGACTTCTTTTTCTGGGGATATCTAAATCAAAAAGTTTACGCCACCGAAGTCGATACCCGTGAGGAATTGCTGCAGCGTATCAATGATGCAGCCAATGAAATTCGTCAAAACCGTTTTAGCATCTTAATAGCTTCGAGAAGTGTTACACGTAGGGCAAGACTTTGTATCAGAGAAGGTGGAGGGTTTTTTGAACAGTTTTTAAAATAGCTTGTTGTCTGTTATCAAAATTAAGTTTCCATCTTATGATCCCTTCGAAAAGTGACGGTTGCAGCTAAATTGCGGAATACAGTGAGGAATGTCCTCCTTGATGTCAGCCTTCTGTTTGGAAACCTTCTGCCGTACTCGCGTTCTGCCGCGCAGCATTACCATCGCAAAAGCCATAAACAAATCATCATATCATAATTGTTCTACATCAATAATGTGTATTACTGATTACGTATTAAATTATTATTATTATTTTTTGTTTAAATTACTATGAAATTGACCAAAGTGGGATTAATTCAAGAGCGATTTTCTCAGAAACCGTTAAAGATAACGATTTGAAACAAGAGTACCTTTTTAACGTAAAACAGTTCGGGAAAACGGAATTTGCTGTCCAATTTGTTAAAAAGTCAAAGATGAAAAAGTTACACACGCAAAGTACCAAGGGCCCCCCCGTACCCACCCCAATGGACCTTGTGGAAATAAATGGATTAGTCCATCAAATTGCTCATCAAAATTTAGCTGTGTATACCAAATTTCATTCATTTATCACAACGCAATTGAGAGATATTGCAAAAAAATGATTTCCATTCCTCCCTCTTCAATGGGTCCCTGTGCCCTTAGGAAGCATTTCCGGACCCATGTTTATATGAACTTGTTTACTTACTTTTGATCATAGAATCGGCCTGTTCAGGGTTGGCAGCTAATTATGAGACACCCTGTATACACTTATAACTAATAATAAAATCTTCTCTAAACATGTTGGCTGGTTATTGGAAAAATGTATTCTGACTTCCTCGCGACAACCAATGGAAAAGGACCGAAAATAAAAACAAAACTCGAACAAAATGTAGCCCGCTTGATGGAAACAAGAGTTTTGGATTTGTTTCAGTTTTATTTTTGTTTTTCAGGTTCTAGAAAACACAAACACGACATAAACTCAACTGTCCGTTTAGTAGAAAACCGCTATAATAGTGCTTGGTAGTGGAGACAACCAGGACTCAGATGGAAGTTTGTACTTTATAATAATAAATACCCCAATAGAGAACGAATTTCTCAGTTAGCAAAATTGAAAGAAGTTTAAAGAAGGAGTAAGTAAGTAAAGGAGCTCAATGGAGATAATAGAAAACAAGTACCTACCCGAAAATAAGAAACTAGATATTCTACTAGCATTTCAAGAAAATGCCCATGCATCATTCAACAATTCTTTGAATGCTGAAAAGAAGAAAAGTGACATCCTTACAAAGTTACTTTCGTTTGAGAGTTTTTGGAAGAAAAAAATTTACCGAAATCCTACGTTTCTAAAAAGACGAGGAGTCTTTTATCTGACAAGGGTAATTATTTACCATGTAACCCACACAAATCATCACAAAAATTTTCCCTTCCTCCTATTTTCGATGAGTGCTGAACACGAATCTGAAGTTAAGTTTTCAAGAAAAATATTTTCAAAATGCAAACCGGGACATTTTACACAGCACAACACTGTATACTTTATGTAGCCTTCAGAACATCTGTTATGAACAATCAACATTGTTTTAGAAACACATTTCCACAAATTTGAAGTAAAAAAATATGTATTTAATGTAATAAATAAAAATTATTTATTGCTTCAATCCGCCATTTGTAATTCGTGATGTCATTGAAGTTCCCCCACTCTCATTCATATGTGTTCATTCAACATAAAAGTTACTAGATTTGTATTTTATTTTTTTCCTCTTAAATTGTGGTGTAAACCGTCAAACTTGTCAGTATTGGGCAACTGAAAATCCACATTGGATGAAAGATTTCTGGAAGACGATTTGCTTCTCGAACTGAATCGGTTGTTTCTAAACATAAATAATTTTTGACTTCAGCAATATGGTGCACCCTCACACTATGCTTTATTGGTACGAAACTACTTGGACAACGTCCATCGAGATAGATGGACAGTGCGAAGAGGATCATTTGAATGGCCACCTAGTTCTCCAATTATAAATCCTCTAGATTTGTTTTCAAGGGGATACTTAAAAAGTAAAGTATAACAATATATACCACAGAATTTAGATTAAAAGAACGCATTCGGTCGAAGATGACACAAATAACTCCGGAAGTTACAGACAAAGTTCGAGAAGAGTTACTTCTCGTCTTTCTCACTGTATAACTTAGGGTCGTCAATTTGAAAATCTTTTGTAACTGAAGTTGTTAAAAATAACATTTTTTGTTGTAATTTTAGATCTTTTTCTTGGCACTATACAAAATTCTATTACCTAAACTTATTATGGTTGAATAGAGATTTACGAGATCTTTCAAAAGATCTATCGCATGACCCATATTTGTATTTTAAAAAATACACACATCGATGACGTCATCACTGTCACATGATCACGTCATATGTAAAACAAATATCTCGCATAACGCATTTTGATAATAAAAATTGACCAGTTTCAGGGTTATTATCCAAAAACACCGATTTACGAATTAATGAGTTTATTCCTTTCATATGCACCATACTGTATTCACAATACTCTACACTATTTGATTACAGCGAAATGTACTTTATTAAGAGTGATTATTATATGACTACAATATTTGCAATATCGATCTGTTTCAACAAGTGGTGGGAAATGTTAGTGCGGTTGCAATGTGGTACAGGGTTGGTTTTCTTTTATGTAATTTTATTCAAACAAAAAGTGACAACCGTTGCCTTCTCATAACTGCATTCTTTGCATTATAAGAATATATGTATATTGTGGAGTCTCCGAGACAATTTTGGGTGGTTACATATATTTATTGTATAAAAATTCGATTGATAAGATGAAAGTGTGACTGAAGCCGTACATCTTTATAAAAAGGATTTTTGTTACAAAAAGCTAGGTAGAAAATCAATGTTCACCCAACGAAAATGGTGTATATATACCAATATATTCAAAAGTAATTAACAATAATTTTTAAAATAAATATATAACATATGTAAGTATTTGCATATTATTATGAAACAGAAAAGGGCAGTGTCTATTCTTCTACACTAAACGCTTCACATGAAACTTACCATAAAATATATACTTAGGTATAGTATCTAATAATACGTATGTACCAGTAAAAGTTAATAAAATAATAATTTCCTACTTATATTTTTAAGCGTTCCGCGGTTAATCGTCTCCGGTAATCGGTAAATAACCATATAAAAACGAAACTAACCGTTCAACATTTACCGAAGTCACAGGCGCATATCTAAAATAGTCGAAGTTTTTAATTGATGCTATTTTTACTAATGGTGACGAAACATCAACTACTTCACATTTTAGTAATCCCGCTATCCGCGTCATTCTACAATAACGTGTGAATATCTCTGATCCGAAGTTTCGCATCGATCAATTTATGCGATAAGTATCTAGCGGCACCTTAATGCCTGCCCTGGCGGCCTGGTGTGCCGGTGAACAATCCAGGTTTTTTGCCGAGGGACGGTGGCCATGCATTTCATTATCGTTTGTGCATGGGTGAGTGAATGACGCTTTGCTTGGTCGAGTGTATGCCACGTACTTTTTGTGGCAGTCAGTAGCATCACAGACAAAATAGCTATCGCCACAGACCGCTCCTGGAATAGGCCAGCAGTTTTAAATTTCCGAATTGCCGGTAGAGTACACCACCAGCAGAATTTTAGGAAGAATCAAATACAGCGGCCCGCATACCTAAGCGTATCCTAGCAACATATAAACAAGACTTTGGTAATGTTGCCAGGCGTACTTACGGATTTCTTTTGTACACTTTTTTATCAATATCTGTTTTTTGCGTTACTGTATTTACTTCAATGTATGATGTAGGTATTGATAAAAATGTTTTTAAAGAATCAACGAATATCTATGTATGTATCATATGATATTCTGCAGTGGTGTTACAATTAAGTTATTTAATCATAATTTCGTTAATTAGCTACCTACTATTTTCATTTTTTGGTATTGAAATACTGCAGAAAATATATTTCCAAATAAACAAAATTCGTAATAATATTTTAAACAGCTTGTAATATAATTTTTTTAATATTTGATGATGACGATAAATTTATTTAATATACAAGGTGGGTTATTAGTACGTCGCGGAATGTAGGTACAGGTTTTTTTTTGTATTTTGACATCCACTTATAGGTTTAATAATTAAAGATAGAAAGAAACTTTAAATACAAATGTACGACTTTTCCTTTATTTCATTTGACATCAAAATTTACTGGCATAAAATATATATGTTTAAAATAAAAAAAATCATTAAAAAAAATTAAAATTCATCCTTATGAAAATAACAAACAACGCTTTTTATAACTAACCTTTACAACAACATAAGGAGAATAACTAAAAACGAAATAACATTAATATACCTACAATTTTTACAAATCAACATGCAAGTGATTGTGATGATACAGTTGAAAATATGTTTCAATTTACTATTAATTGCTTCAAAAACAAATTCAAAATTATCAAGCATTTCGTCCTGTATTTTTCTTTCAATATTTGTAAACTTTCAGGGAAAAAAAAATATGTCTAAAGGACTGACAATGAGATCGGGGCTGTTTTCTGGCCACCTAAGGTTTCTAATAATATTTTTTAGTGTTCGTTGACGGGATTCTTCCTCCAAAATAAATTTGCCAATATTCCTGAAGAACTTTTGCACATTATTGTTATTTGAATAATACAGTTAATTATGTTTTATTTTTCGTCATCAGAATAACCCATTGTAATTTTTTTAATTTTTTAAATTAAAATGGGTTATTCTAATAATGATAAATCCCATGTATTTTTAAAAGAAGGTTCGTTTCTGTCGTTTTTGTCTGATTGTGTGCGAGAGAGATAGAGTTATAGTGTGCGATAGAGATAGAGTGACTCTGTCCTCGTAGAAAGCTTCTATCTCTCTCTCTCTCTCTCTGCTGTCTTCAGGAGTCTCCCCAGCAATTTCAGGACACCTAGGGAGGGAACGTGGGGTAGAGCGCGTGGCCTTGTTAAGCCTTCGTTATCGATCTATGATGTCACACAGTATAAGAAAAAAAAATGGTTTTTGCTCGTAACTCGGAAATGGCTGGAAATATAAACAAATTTCCCCTTGGTTCTGAGTAGAGCACTCGGTGGGTGACGCAGAGCGGGGTGTCACAATATATGAAAAAAAAAAAAACAGTATTTGCTTAGACTCTTAAGTATCAAAAAATCTCCCATGGTGAACAAATAAATCTCCCATGGTGAACGAGTGAAAAACGTCAAAACCCGCATGTAAAAAAAAAAATCGGGACCAACGGTGTGTGACGTCATAGGATAAAAAAGTGTTTATAACTCGGAAACGGTGCGTTGAATCGAAAAAATAATTGAAAAATGTCAACCCCTCCCTCCCGGGTTCTGTATGTTCCTTCTGCGTTGAATGCAAAAGGTCCGAAGTCCGTATGTCGAAAATAAATTCTGGAAACAAGAGGTATGTCGTGTTATAGTAAAAAGGCCGTATAACTCGGAAACGGTGCGTTAAATCGAAAAAATAATTGAAAAAATCTCCCCACACCCCTGGTTCTGTATGACAGTTCTGCGTTGAATGGAAAAGGTCCGAAGTCCGTATGTGGAAAATAAATTTCGGAAAGAAGAGGTGTGTGAGGTGATACAGTAAAAAAGGTCTTATAATTCGGAAACGGTGCGTTGAATTGAAAAAATAATTAAAAAAATCTCCCCACTACTCTGGTTCTGATTGTCCGTTCTGCGTTGAATGGAAACGGTCCGAAGTCAGTATGTCGAAAAACAAAAAAGTTAGTCAAAAATTGCAACAGCAGTAGCGAACGCATTATCTTATCTCTGTATTGATTGATGATTTGTTGTTTTTTTTTTTTTTAAATAAATTTCGTATTCAACTACTCCTTGAGGTTCCAGCAATTTTACATTGTGTTAATTTTTTTGAACACCTTGTGTCACAAATATGAGCACTACCAATGACATCCATGATATGCAACACTTGTGTCAATAATTATTTTACCTATCTAAAGAAATCAACAATAAGAGGCAGTACCCATCTAAGGATACACA